CCATTTTCATTCTAAACCATATTATCATTATATATTTTGACAGCTAGCATTTTAAGGCTTATTTGTAAAAAATTTTGTTTGATTTTGTGCAATTGTTTATTTTTTGTGTCCCATCAAATATGGAAGATCGAAAGCAGCATTTTTTGCATATTTTGCTCTTTTATTACTGAAAAGGTAAGAATGCTGTTCAAGAGAGGAAAAAAATTGTGTGACATGTATGGAGAAGATGTATTGACAGAATGACAGTGGCAAAACTGGTTTACAAAATTTCGTTTTGGCAATTTCGATATTGAAGATGCACCACGTTCTGGATGGCCAATTGAAGCCAATGAAAACAAAATAAAGATACTGATTGAAGCAAACTGCTGAATAATACTAATAGATTAAATTTGTGAAATTGAACTGTTTATGATTACTTGAAACAAATTGGTTTCGTTTCAAAGCTTGATATATGGGTTCCGCATGTTCTTAAAAAGAGATGCTCTCTTTGGTGGGATTTTAAGGAAATTTTTTTTGGAGCTTTTACCAGACAATTTAACAATTGATTTGAAAGTGTACTGCCATTGAGTAAACAAATTGAGTAATATCATCAAACAGAAAAGGTGGCCAGAATTGATCAACAAAACAGGTGTAGTGTTTTACCATGATAATGTCAAATTTCACACAAGTTTGGTAACTCGTCAGAAACTGTTATAACTTAGATGGGACGTTCTATCACACCAACCATATTTGCCAGATCGAGCATACTCGGATTATTACTTGTTCCAGTCTATACAAATTCTTTTTTAACTGTAAGTCATTTACTTGAAATGACAATTTCAAAAATCACTTGGATCAGTTTTTTGTAAGCAATGATCAAAATTTCTATGAATGTGAAATCATGCTACTACCAGAAACGATGACAACAGGTATTTGACCAAAAGGGTCGATATATAATTCAATAAAATATTTATTATAAAAATGTTTTTTTTTCCATGGGGGAAAAACAAAATTACTTTCTGAACATCCCAATATATGAGATATATTGTTATCAATATTTAATATTATAAGAAATAGAGCATACCAAAATGTAAGTTTACCATGAATTATACTTATGAAACACTTATAAAACTTAAAAATGCTTATAAAATTTTGCTCGTTGTATTCAGAGTTTTGGTTACAATTATAAATAGATCTAAAAGACAGCTTAAAACATTGAGACTTTAAAAAAATGCCTATGGCTTCAATATGTGGCAGATAATTTCAATTATTTTCAGTTATTAATCTGAACAAAATTGCTTTAAATGTTTAATATTTAAAGCAATTTTTAAGAGTTCACAATATTTTGAATATTAGCATCTTAATAATGAACTGTAAAAAATATTGACAAATGATATTGGATGAATTGCTTTTAAATAATAATTATTATTATAATTAATAAATCTTCAAGCCATACATTTTTAATTGATTTAACATTTTGTCTTTCTTATTAACGTTAGTCAATAGAACCAGAATTTTGCTAATTTTACCTTATTTATTTAATGTTGTCAGTATATCAATACAGATCAGTATAGCTGAGTATTGTGAAGTAATTCTACTGGATTTAGAAATTATTAAAATACTGTACTCATAACTAAATATATGTATATATGTGTCTTCTATTTATTGTTATGCTAGGATTATTGCTACTTTTTCATAAACCTTAAATGATATTTATTAAGCCAGATTAAACTAGTTTCAAAGGAATTAAACTATAATAATAACACTTTCAAAATCTGAAAAAAAAATATTTTTTTTAATTAACCAAAAAATAATAATTTATTATCAATTATTTACATATAAATACTGTATATGCATGCAATCTAGTGCTGGGTATTGTAAGAAGCTACTTTGTTTTATTGCATTGAATACAATATTTTATTGTCAGAAATAATTTTTGAATTTTTATCTTTTATAATTTATTAATGTTAATTGAAAATTTTTCATTATTAAGATCTTTTCTTATTTGTTTTCTCTTTTATTTGTTTAGACACTAGTAGACCTCGTAAACCTTGGGAAGTTGATGGCAAGGAGTATTATTTTGCATCTAGAGATTTTATAGAAGAAGAAATAAGACAAGGAAGATTTGTTGAACATGGAGAATACAAGGGTAATCTGTATGGTACAAGTTTGGAGACAATCAGATCAATTATTAATGCAGGATATGTTTGTGTTACAACACCTCATCCACAGGTAAGGAAGAATTTATCTGTAATGAATGAAGTGCTCTTAGATTTTGAAATAATTTAATATTTTCACATTTTTTAATAAATTTGCTTTGAGTTTGGTTTTATTTTCTTATCAACAAAGTATTCAATTGGAATAAACTGATCAATGAATTATACTAAATATTCCACTTTAAAAAGCCAATATACACAATTTAATACAATGAATATTTAATTTTATGAAAATAAAACAAATATCCATTTGAAATAACATTTAATATATTTATTACTGACATGTAATAGTAATTTAACTTTTATTTATTTGGCATTCATTATGTTTGTAGGAATATATATATTTCAAATTGATGATTGTTCTGTTTTTTGATACTCAACTGTTTCATAGTTCAAATATTCTAAGTGTATATTTGTTATTTTGTTAATAAAACAATGTATTACTCTATGTGAACCTGATTATGATTTGTATCAGAGTAAATTTTATATGCTGGTTTTTTAAGGTTGGTTATTTAGTATAATCTTATCAACAAAGTTTATCATAAATTTTTATTTTATAAATATAGGCTCTCAAGATGTTGAGAACACCTGAACTCAAGCCTTATATAATATTCATTAAGCCACCACCATTTGAACAGTTGAAAGAAACAAGAATTCTTTCTAATGCAAGATCTACTTTTGATGAAACATGTTCACGAGGATTTACTGTAAATAATTAAATTATTTCATTGTTTTATATTTTTTTAAATATAGATATATTCATAAAATACAAATTAATATTAAATTTTAAAATTTACAACTTAATTAATATATAGAAATGATAAAGAAAAATTGAACATCTTCAAAAAAAAATGTAACCTTTATTATAATTTAATTACTTTTTCATTTTTTAACTTAAACTAATAGTTAAATTAGTAATAAAATATTAAAAGAATGATCTTTTACATAACATCAACTTTTTCTTTTAGAGATAATTTAAATATAATAAACATGGGCTATATTAAATATATTTAATAAAATTATTATTGACTTCTTAAATTTTATGTTTAAATCACATAAATAATCTTTGAAAAAGATTATTTAATGATTTAAGATTAAAGCTAAATGCAGAAAATTCAAGGTAAACCTTGATCATATATTAAAAGATATGTTTCAATATAACGAATATTGAAAAGTTTTTTTTTTCTTTTTGTAATGTTCTTACAAAATCATCCAATAATCTGGGAACTGCTACAATGCCATGGTAAGAATTTTATAAAACTAGCAGAGTAAGCCATCCAGACAATCTCCAGTTTCTGATTTGAAACAATTTTGAAGATGACATACAAAGAAAACTCTATAGATTTCCTTAATAATAGTGAATGTCATAGCAATCATGCAAATTTTGGAACAAATTGTAGAAAATGATGTATTGGTAGATTATGAGCAAAACTCTGATGTTCTTATTGAAACCAAAACTAACCATGTTCTTATTGAAATTGTATCTTATTGGCTAGAACTCCTTTGTGTGTGAAGAAAGAAACAATGATTAACTCTTTACGGCTAAATCGCCAAAATGCCAAAGGTCCACTGCCTATGTATAAGCATATATGTCTAATAATAATGTTGAAAGGAAGTTCAATACTATTCTATTTATGTGTGTTTTGACTTAGGGTGTGACTATGCAGATGCAAGCAAGCGAATTTTCTGAGCAAGTGAGAAGAGGTGAAATGCAATAAATATCAAAATATTGTCAGATGTGTGAGAACCAGAAATTCGCTCTTGCCAGCAATGCTTCTCACTTGTGCATAATCTTTCTTTGTGAGAACTATATCATTTGCAACCTCTTGCTTGCTACTAAATTTGCATCTGCAGAGTCTCACCATTCTTCCCTATTCATGTAAAATTAAAATGGCCTGATTAATGTTGTTTTGTTTAATGCTGCAAGTTCTAAAACATATCCTAAGCATTAAGATGTCTTACTATCTTTAATATTCAAATAAGTATGTATGTAGTAATTGTTATTATTTCTACCATTAAGACTGTGAATACATAGTTTAAGTTTGTGATTTTATTAATTGACACAAAACATTTATAAAACAGTTTTTATAATGTTAGACTTTTTCTAACATATTAATTTTTTTTTTATTTTCTCATTCAAATAGTCTACTTAATCTTTGTTAATGTTCAGAAGAAAAACTAATTATTAAATCTTTATATTGTTGCCTACATAAACCTGAAGAGTTGATTATATTAATAAATAATTTTTATTTATTTATTTCTTGAAATTCAATTTGTAATGATATTACTGTAATAATTTAAATAATTTTTTTTTCTTAAATTACAATTTATGATATCACACATTAAAATGCTACCTCAGAATTCTAATTCATTTTGTTCCTGGAGACATTTGAGTTCCAAAGCAATTTTTCCCATAAGGCAATGTTTTCCCATCTGTGGGGCACAAGACTATTTCTAAGAGCAGCTTTTACCAAATTACATTTTTTTAATACAAACAAACAAATAAATATCAAAAAATAAATCAGCAAAACTAGGTTATCCCTAATTCACAACCCTCGTCTGAACAACCTGGGTACAAATACTAAAAATCCACTCATACTCTTGCTGAAATTTCTCAACAGGAGTTGATCCTTGGCGAACAATATACTTTATTAATAAGGTATATTGTTTTATAGATCATTAAATAAATTACAAGACAGTATTTATGAAATTAGATTGTTAAAAAATTGAGTAGGACATAACAATTTTTTTCTGAAAAAGAGGGGGTGCAGATAAAGAAAGTTTGGAAACCACTGCCATAAGTTATAATGTAAAATGAATTAATCCATTCCCAAACTCCAAAAACACCTATTTTAATTTTAAAAAAATCATAATTTAAGCTAAAATAATACAAACGCCCTAATTAATGCATAAAACAATGAAAATAATGATAGATTAAAACCATTGAAAAAAGTAAATAATGCAATAAAATGAAAGTACTGTATTGTAACTTCATTTACTTTAGTGAGGAATACTGATGGCTCAAGTGGAATCTGGAGAGGAGAGGGGTTATTGCTTGGAAGGTGATTGACCTTCTATAAAGTCAGTAGGTAGCAGTAGGTAGGTAGGTGCTATAAAGTCAGTAGCAAGCTGTCCTTATGGTTTAAATAGAGGTACAAATAAAAAAAAATACATGAAATCACTACTTTGACAATAGGTAGCTGTCCTCTTTGTTCATTTCTCATCAAAACCCTTACTAGCATGAGTGGCCTTACTAAAAGTTTATGCTCCAGTCACTCTTGGCTTATTGGAACTTCTGAGGCTCTCACTTTGAGAAGGTGGTGACTTATGAGAGAGTTAATATTATTTTACTGATTATATTGTATAATAATATTAACTCTCTCATAAATCACCCCCTTGTCAAAGTGAGAGCACTCAGTAGTTCCAATAAGACAAGTGATTGGAGCATAAACTTTTAGTAAGGCCACTTTTAGTAAGGTACTATAATATAAATATATATGTGTGCGTGTGTGTGTGTGTGTCTTATGGTAAAAGTGTGATTAATCCAGTGATTATGCATAATCACCTACAATTTCAATAAATATTATAAATTTCATATATTGTGAATTAATCACATTTACTTATGCATGCTTGTCATGCATAAGTAAATGTGATTAATATGATAAATCATACTTAATTAATCTAATTTACCAGATATTATGCATATTTGCCAATCTAGGATGGTAAATTTGATAAATAATGCATTCTTGACAAATGACCTATATATTGTGAGATTTACCAGAATAACAGATGTGGACAGGACAAGGGCAATCTGTGGAATATATTGCTGGTAATATTTGCTACTGAAAATGATAAGTACTATTGCTTGGGAATAAAGGACATCTTTCACAACTGTATACTAAAAACCAGTTTGTGTTATGTGACAAACAATTTTTTACAGTGGAAAATGTATCAAATATTGTGTTTTAGGGAATACACAAGAAAAACATTGATTTCAGGCTGTCAGGGGGTAGCAAAGGTGCTCATGTAAAAAGTGTAATTCAACCAAATACAAAAGAAGAAAAATTATGTAACTCAAAATACTGTATCATGATAGTTGGCCATGTTTGAGTAAGCAGTAAGAATTATTAGAGTTCTATATTTTTTCCCAACAAATTTTTGGTATTTTTGTACAAATAATTCTAATATTAAGCTGAAATACCATTTTTCTTAGTTTCCTTACATTCATTAAATCATTCTAATATTAATAAAACAAAAAATGTAAAAGAATGAAGCAGAATGAATCAAAAATACATTTTTGATTCATTCTGTTAAAATTTCTTTAAATCCATAAGTTGCTTTATTAAAACAACAAAAGGTAGAAAATTTCATGATATCAAATGTATCAAAATATATATAATTCATAATGATCTTGTATAGAATCTAGCACATATATAAAATGTAAGTAGCATAAACATTTAAAAAGAGTCAAAAATAAAATACTAAATTTAATATTTTTTTATAAGATGAGGTTGAAGAATTTCTTTATTCAAAATAAAAAAAAACTAAGATTTTAGATTTTAATTTGTTTATTATGAATACTGTAGATTTCTTTAAAACTGAATAAACCTGAAATGAAAATGAGGAAAATTACATTTAAAAATTCAAAGCTAATGAAAATAATAGAATAAAGTTTAAAACATGGATGGAGGATCTTTAATTTTTCTGCTATTTAATGAAATTTTAAATAAATTTAATCAGAAAGGATGAACTGTATTATATTAAAAGAAGAATCTTTAAATACAATTGATATCTGCTTTATTTCAAGTTTTTTCTGAAATAAAATGCTTCAATAATAATTAGAAATGTTTTATAGATTAATGTATTAAAATTGCTTTTGTGTGTTTGTTATGTATTTTTTAAATTAAATAAAAATCTTTTCTTTCAGGTATTTAAACATATTTGTTTTCATTTCTAGGATGAAGAATTTCATGAAATTGTTTACAATGCTCATAAAATTGAATTCTTATATGGACATTTATGCGATGTTACAATTGTTAATGATGATCTTGCTCGTTCATTTGATGAATTGCTGGCCATTGTCAAAAGGGTAGAAGTAATGCCTCAGTGGGTACCTGCTAGTTGGGTTGCATCCAGTTAAAACAAATATAGTTTGTTTAAAAATTAAAATTTCGGGCAAATTATTTTATTAGAAAAATAATTTATGTAAAGGTTTTAAATGCCTGAAACTTTTTAAAACCTGTATTAATAGTTGAAAATATTAGTTTTTTCATATTATAAAAATAATCTTTTTAGTTAAATACTAGTTAGTTTTAAGATTTAAAGTATTTGAAATTTGTTTTTAATTATGTTAAATTGTTAGTGATACTGTTTATAAATTTATTTTTATCTATGATATAATAATTAACATATCACTGATAAAAATAATAAAAAACTCTAAAATTTCAATTCAAACAAATTAAACAAATAATTTTTAAAAAATTTTATTAAGATATACTCTATTAGAGTGATATGATAATTACATATACTTAATTTTTCAAAATAAAAAAAATTACTAATTTAGAAAAATTCATATTTCATTCCACATCACTTTTAAAAGACGATTTAATTTCAAATTATTTTAATAAATAAAACAATTTTGACATAATTTTTTTTTAACTGTACAGGTAAAAAAGGTTTCAAAATGTTTATTAAAAAAAATACTTAATAAAAGACTTCAAAATATTAATATACAGTATTTAAATTTTTTATTTATATTTTTTTGAATGAATGCTAAATATATTATCTAGAAATATAAATTGAATTATTTGTATTTATTGAATAATTAAACCATTGATGTCCATTAACAAAATAGTTTCTAAACTGAATTATTTATGATTTAAGAATTTGAAGTTACCATAATATATAATCAAATATTTTTAACTTGATGAACATTTATAATTTCAACATGTTACAATAATAATAAAATAGTTTTCTTAATGTAGATTGTATTATTAAAAAAAATTGTTAATTAACTTTTTATTGTAAAAATTTCTATTCCATTAAAATGGAATAAAATACTAAATTTAAATAATAGATTTCAACAGAGTGTAAAAATAAAACTTAGTTTCATTCCATCCAAAATTATAGATAGATGTTTTGGCTAATGTACTTAGAAGTAGTTGAATAATTATGTATTTCTATACAATATCATTTGTATCTGCAATTATAAATTTTAAAAGTCTGGACATCAAAGGATTAATTAAAGAATACAAATTTCAAAAATAATTCTTAAAATTTTATTTTGATTAACTAATTATAATATTAAGTAAAAATAATAAAATTACTTAGAAAATATATAAAAGTTATATATGGGTATTTTCTTATAAATTTATTATATATATTAAAAAGTTTTGTTAAAGAAAACTGTAAGTAGTTAAAATATAGAAGATAAATAGATTAGAAAATATATACATACATATATATATATATATATATCCATGCTATATTGTATATCTCAATAAAACAGTATTTTCATAATTATACAAAAATTCTAAAATGTACAGTCATTTGTAAAATATTTCAGCAAAATCTATACATTGTATGTTCATGTTGTTATAACTTTTGAAATGTTAATGCATAAATATTAAAGATAATTATTTTGTGCAATGATAGTAAATAAATTAGAATAGTTAAAAAGTAATAATAATAATAATTTGTTTGCCAGAAATTTTAAATTTTCATTTTAATGTTTCGTTAACTTCATATAATTACATTTTTAGTGATGGTATTTAAATTCAAAGCAATTAAAATTTCATTTTAATTCTTAGTTTGATATATGAAGTTCCGCCCATTTAAGTGTTTGTCCAGATTATAAAATTATTAGAAATACTGTACTAGTTAAAAGTATAAGTACTATTAACTAATAAAATAATATGAATATTAGATAGAAATTTGTGAAAATGATAATATTCCAGGGAAGTATTCCACCCATTGTTTTAAAATAGTTTTGTAATATTAAATGTATTTTTTATATCTAATTTAATATAATAAATTTAAAATTTATTATATACATAAAAATAGAATGAATGAATTCATTTCCGGTTATATCATAAAATTTTTTCAGAAATTGAAAACTAACAAAACTGTCCCATCAAGATAATTTATAAATATATGCAGTGTGGTTCAGATATAATGGTACAAATCAATACAATATCATTCAGTATTGAAAGATATAAATATAAAATGTAGAGGTACATTTTCATATTTGGGTTTTCTATATTAAAATATAAATTTTTAAAATTTTTTGACATATATAATATATACTAATTGAATAAAGTTAATTACATTTATATGTGGCTTAACTTTTTATCATTTAAAACATTGAAAGAACCATTACATTTTTATGAAATTTCCATATATCAATACTTTAACAATGTTTTTATATTTTGACTAGCTATTTATGTGATAAAACTTCAGTTACTTATATTGTGATAAGGAGAAGTCACAATGCTGCTTTATGTATATTTGCTTTCCAATGTTGAATTATTTTGATTTATAACTTACTTTTGGACTATTCTATAGATGACAAAAAATTTTTTTAATTATTTCAATGATTTAAAATTTGTTTAAATGTCAATATTAAAAAATAAAAATGTTGTAATTTCATTTATCTTCAGATAAATGAAATTAAAATACTTGTAGTTTTGTAGATAGATAAAATTATAATGTTTTCAGATAAAATTTCTTTGATGGTTATTATTAATTTTTAAACATGAAATTATCACATTATAAATGCATGAAAATTGAGCATAATTGGAATATGACTTTGCTTTAGCATTCTAGAATTAGTTTTGTTTATATAAAATAAGTTTTGATAATTAAATTTTCTGTCATATTTGATATTCTTTAAAATACTGAAGTAATAAAACATGTTAGAAAATACAGGTGGCTGACCTTTTTTTCAAGAACTATTTTAATAGGAAAATACCAAAGTTGTATTTGCACATAACAAAATTATTTCAGATAAAACTAATTGCTCTTATTCAATTTTGCACATATCCTCAACTCAGTTACTATATCAAAAATAAAAATGGTAAAGACTAAATACAATAAGAGTTTGAAGTTTATGTTTAATCTTCACTCTTCTTTTTTTCAAATACAATAAGATTAAACACAACAGACTTTCTCAAACTTGTGCTTAAGTCTTAAATATCTTTATTAAAAAATTAGAAATTATTTTGGAACTTTATTATATGTAAAGATATTTTTTAATCATTTCTTTTATATCCTTGAAAATGTAAGAAAGTAAACATACATTGTTACAAATGAAATCACATTTAGATAGAGAATTTTATTTAAAATATGATTATTTGCACTATAAATCTATTGAACAAAATTAAAAATATAATAATGAATGATTTTTTCTAATTAATTAAACCTAAAAAGATGGTAAGAGCTCTTGCATGACTTTCCTGGCTTTTGAATGAGAGGTTAAAAGGGGACCAGGAAGGATGTCTGATTAATTTTCAGTTATATTTTTTAAAAGTTATAAAAAAAAGGTAAAAGTGTTATTTTTGATAGTTTTTAAAAGGTTGTGAATACTAATAATGAGCAAAATTTTAAGTATTACCTCATTTGAGATATGATCAGCTGGCCCATTTATCTCCCTTCCTCCTTGACTTATAATCTTTAAAATGTAATCAATGCCCCTATATAACAGAATTCTTATCAAATTTCAAATTTTTTTGGTTTATGGTGTTCATGAAATATAAAGTAAAGTACAGGCATACAATTTCTTTATTTGCAATTGCAGGCAAATTTTTTAAATAAAAACTTCATTTTGTTGTGCAGCCAAACATCAACATACTAATATGCTATGATATATGTTAAGTTGAAGGTTGACTAATTTTTTAGTATCATTTGAAAAATATTATAAATTTCATGAAAAATCAGAAGTATAAATTTGTAAAGAAAAATTAATTGGTGAAATAACTGGAAAATAACTCATTCCTGCCAAGTCTGATTTAATGTTCAATTTAAATAGAAATGAGGATGTCTGGTATGAATTGATCACCTATCATATAATTTTGTTTAAGCATATTTTTGATGATATTTTGCTTCATAATCAGATGATATAGTGACTTTTGTTATACTGAATCCTTCAATCTAGTTTCCCACTGTTGATTTGGATTATCTAAGTTTGTCATGAAAGTAGTAGTAGTAGTAGTAATTTGATTTTAATATTTTACATTATGGCATTATATGATTTTCCACAATTCAATTTCCCAGTATATAATAAATAAGAAAACTGGTGATGTAGGTGCAATTTCAGGGAAACTTTAGAATAAAATTCTAAATTTGTCAGTTTAGTTTGGATGGTTTTTCTAAAAAGTAAGGTGGGTGCATGTGTATAGCAAAACCTGTCCAAAAACAGAAACCTGCCTAAACAGAACTATTCTTCAGAATGGAGTGATTTTCTATATTTACAAAAAACCTGTTCAAAATAGAAACTTGCCAAACTGGAAAATATAATTGGTACTGTGCAATTCCAGTTTATACAGAGTTTAGTGTATAAATGATTTTAGTTTGTTTCTTTCAATGGCAACCAGTTAAAATTCAAGGAATTTTACTTAGTTACCATTGAAGGGAAAAAAATGATATAAATATATAATGTATTTAAGGTAGGTTAAATAAATATTAGACAACTGGCTTATGTAACAAATCCTACAGCATAGATTTTTTCCCTTCTAGAAATTAATTTTAAATTAAATTTTAATGTGATGGTATATTTTAATACTATCACATTAAAATGTAATTTTGAAACATTAACAGATACACATTTGTATTTACTGTGTGTTGCAAAAATTCTAACATTGTACAACTTAAAATGCCATATATTTTCAAAATTTCCTAATTTTGAACATTAGAAAGTTTATAGTAATAAAAGCTTTTTGTTCTGAATAACTGTGAAAAACAAAATCAGTATAAATTTTTATATTACCATATTAGGCAAAAATTTTATTAAAATGGTATAGTGACTCTTATGTATTGATTACTTACACATACATACAATATTTATTCATTTTTTAAAATTTTTATATTAAACTATAAGTTAACAGTTGTTCATATAAATCAGGATTTTTTTACTAACTAATTTTA